TCAGCAGGATTTATGCTCGGCAGAAGGGAAGCGGGTCTGTCTGCGCTTGTCCTGGTGCCGCGTGAGTCACTCAATGGTTAAACACAGCTTTGTTAGCTGGATGCTGGGAATTTCGATTTCCAGCGGGATGGAGGAGCCAGGGCTCCTACTGACATTAGGAAAACTGCCATCTGCAGGGAAGGGGCTTCTTCCCTGAACGCTCCCTCCTCCTGAGCAGCAACCCTCCCCCAGCGCTGGCCACAAATGGGGGTCTCTGTGGCCGCGTCTGGGCTGCTAAAGCAAAGGGAGCCGGGCACTGTGCTCCGGCCCTGGGCGCTGCCCCCAGGGTGAGGACGGATGGGCAAGGGTGCTGGGGTGGTGAGGGTGGCGCTGGGGGAGCTGCTGGGGTGGGGGGCATTTCTAAACGAGCTGGTGAGGAGTGTTTGCATCTCAGGGGCCCCTTCCTCGTGGGGAGCGGTGCTGGGGCTGGAGCCCAGGCTGGGGCCACCGGGAACTGCTCCGCTGACTGCGGCCAAAGGAAGTCAATGTATACACAAGCATCTTCAACGCTCCCCCTTCCCTTTGCACAGGTCTTCTCATCTGCCCGCCTGGACAAGAGAAATTCCTGCAAAACCCTCCTTGGTGATCTGTGTCCTCCAGGCAAATCCCTGTGGCTGGGTCTCCGAAAGCTGCCCACTCCCGTGGCGCCGTGCCTGGTCCTCCTGCCTGCAAGAGGAGCAAAGGTGGGCTCGTGCCCGGCACGTGGCCATCTTCCCTCTCGGACACTGCCCATGCTCCAAGGGACGCTGCCGGGGAGGAGCCAGCCCCCCCGGCCATGCTGACCGGGTTTGAAAGGCTGTGGAGTGCCAGCGAAGGAAAGCGGCGAAGATGCTGAAGGCAACGCTCCGGCAGCCCTGCCTGCAAACCCAGCCCGGCTGCCCCGCACCCAGCGAGGCCGTGCAAAACCCGTGTGTCTGCGGGATGGCCGAGGGGGACACCGGCTGTTGGCAGGAGAGGGGGAGCAGAGGAGGGCAGAGGTGCCGTCAGCTCCGGGATGCTCCTGCCTCCGAGCTGGTCGAGCAGGAGGGATGGACGGGGCCACTGGGAGGGAAGGCAAGTGGAAGCTGCCGGCGGGGGCCCGGGGGGGGCAACGGGGGACCGCCCGGGCCCCC